TAACGTGTACATTATCTATCCAACTGTGAACACCCATTTGGGGTAAAATAATATTTAGATAATTCATTTGGAGAAAAAAAAATCACAGATGTGACTAGAATGAAATCAGCAGGTAAATACGGGAGCGGATGATCCAGTTTGTGACATATTCCTTAAAAACAAAACTGGAAATAGGCAGCAGCGAGGAGTACTCCAGCTATCCAACTGTGAAAACGTGGGTTTGGACTAGGGCAGATTCTGTCTTCCGTTTTGACTGTCTCATTTTAAGAATGACTAAGAAGTTAGAACGAATTAATTTGTTACTCATTCAACAAATACTCAGCATGTGTTATCGTGTGGGCGTCACTAGATACCTTGTGGTCGTGAGGCTGTTGGAGCAGCTCAGTCTCCTAGGACTCGTGGGGATGGTGGGATTGCCCTCCAATTCAAATTCGAGAAATCAAATTTTAAATTTTATTTCATTTTAAATCATGCCAGTTTACATAGCCACATGTAGCTAGTGGATGCTGTCCTGGACACCATGCAGGTCCATGGGAATAAAGGGATATATTTAAACCTAAGTGAAAGTAATACAGTTTAAACCTTTAAGTGAAAGTAATACAGTTGCACAAATTGATACTGGAATATGAAGCATTTACCTGCACTCACATTTATGCTTAATTATATATAAGAATGTTTAAAACACAAGATTTAAAAAATACGGGGCATGGAGGAGTACATTCAGAGAGCATACTTTGTCTAGGACCATTTTCTTTCTATTCAAGTGATAAGTATTAACTCAGACTACTAAGAGAGGATACATATTTTCATGCTATACTTGAGGACTGAAAATTAAAGATACCAAGGTGAGGAATGACTCACTCGGAAGTTGGTTGAAAAGTCAGGAATTGAGATCAACCCAGTGACCTGGATTTGGCAGTTAAAACTAGGTGGCATTCGGCATGTCTTATAAAAGTTTCACACACCTCTTAGGTTTTCTAAAAATGCGATCTCCCTACTGCCATCAAAGAATGTTGCCTGAAAGGAGTAACCGAATGTCGCCTCCCCCACCCCGCAACCAGTCAGGGTATATAATGCATCACATAATATGGAATATTGGATGTAATAATTTGTCCCCCCCACCGTGCAAACTCCCCTCCAAGTCTGCAAGACTAAGGTGTGACCTACAGGCTAGTGTGTTATGTTACTCCACTTCTGTATATGTAACGGCTAAATATTATATATACGGGACACACAGTGTTTATGTGTCAGAACTCAAGTAAAAATAAGCACAAGGTGTCAGTTTGCCTAAGAACCCTGAGCACAAATGCAAATATTGACCCCTGGATCCTGACCTAGGACGCCCCAGGACCCCAGAGGCAGCCTGTGGCTCTCACGGTGTAGAACATTTCTTGTAAAGGGTGGTCTGTCCAAGCCCTCATTCTACAAAGGAGGAAAATGAATCTGAAACTGCACCAGGTACAGAGCTGTGGAGTCTGGTCTTGCTGTTTCCTGGATTCGCCTGGGTTTGCCTAGGAGGGACAGATAGGCCACTCTAGGAGTACAGTCAGCTGTGCTCAAGATTCTTGCCAAGGTCCAACGTGGCAGCAGCCCCTCGGGCTCCTGGGAGTTGCCTAGCTCATTGCAGCGCCCCTAAAACCTGCCCAGGTTAGAGCCCCCCAGGCCCTGGAGGCAGAGGGAGGTTAAGGAACACAGTTGCAGGAGGTGGGAAATGAACGATTAACTGCTTTTACCATGTTAACTTTGGAGACAGATGATTGTCCCTTTAACAGGGGATGTCTCCATTACATGCAACTTTCATTTTAAAAGGTGTCATTAATTAATTTTACAGTTAGATCAGTCCATGGTTCCAGTTTCTTTTAAAGTCAGGGTCTCAGTCTGTTGCCCAGCCTGGAGTGCCGGAGTGTGGTGGCAGGATCTTGGCTCACCGCAGCCTCAAACCCTTGGGCTCAAGCACTCCTTCCTCCACCTCAGCCTCCTGAGTAGACGACAGGTGCAAGCCACTGTGCGCAGCCCAGTTTCTTACTATTAAAATAGTGGGGCAAGCCCCTCGAGTCTCCTCCCACTCTGGGAGCTTTTCTGTCCTCTCAATAAATCCTGCTTTATAAACAAACAAACAAATAAATAAGTGAATATCTTTGTCTTCCCATGTGCGACATGCTGGCATATCTACAGAATAGCTTGCATAGATTTGTTTTAAAAGGGTGTACAGATCAACTTTTTTTGTTACCTATTGCGAAACCCAAGGGTCTGCACCAGTTCACACTCACACCCCGGGTAGATGGGATTGTGTTTGTCCCCTCTTCTCAGGAACCCTGGCAGTTATGAGTGGTCCGGGAGGTTTCTGAGCAACTTTCCTGTGTGAAATGAGTTATTTTCACAATTTAAAAAATAACTTAGCCGGGCTCGGTGGCTCAGCCTGTCATCCCGCACCTTTGGGAGGCTGAGGTGAGTGGATTGCCTGAGCCCGCGGGTTCGAGACCCGCCTGGGCAGCGAGACTTCATTTCTACAATAAATCAAAAAATCAGCTGGGCGTGGTAGCGCGCACCTGTAATTCCGGCTACTCGGAAGGCTGAGGCGGAAGGATCGCTGGAGCCCAGCAGGTCGAGGCTGCGGTGGCCGGGAGCGGCCACTGCCCTCCAGTCTGGGCGACAGAGTGAGACTCCAACTCAAAAAAAAAAAAAAATAACTTACACTTATGAAGGTCTAAAATCTAGGATGAAGCCCTTACTGAAAAAACAAACAATTAGTTAAGGGATTCACAGTGGTGAGAATGAACATACAATTCATCAATGTCCTAATTGTTCTTCCTCCATGCTGGAGGGGTCTCAAGCATCTTGTACAAACCCTCTGGGCGCCATTGATAAGCCCATGGGTTTAAAGAGCTGAGACCCACATTGTCAGACTCCCTCTAAATTAAACCATGTTCTATTTCACCTCCTTCATTAGCTGAGTTACTTTTTTTTTTTTTTTTTGAGTCGGAGTCTCACTCTGTTTCCCAGGCTGGAGTGCAGTGGCACACTCATGGCCACCACAGCTCCAACCTGCGGGGCTCAGGCTATTCGTCTACTTCAGCCTTACAAGTAGCTGGAACTACAGGAGTGCGCCATCATGACCGTCTAATTTGTTGATTTATTGTAGAGATGAGGTCTCACCAAGTTGCCCAGGTTGATCTCGAATCCCTGGGCTCAGGCAATCCTCTCGCCTCGGCCTCCCAAGGGGCTGGGATTACAGGCAGAGCCACCGAACCCAGCTCTCCCCCTCTTTTTTTAAAGACCCCTTTTCTGCCTCTTGTTGGCAAACATTTTAGTAATAAGCAGAGGAGTTGCATTTGGAGTCAGTGAATTTTAGAACCAGAAGGGACCCTGAAATCTTGTTCATGGATCACCAGTTGAGTGAGGGTTCGAGGCCGGGTCCCCACCCGTGCAGGGCAGTACCCTGCTGACCACCCTGCACCTCCTTCATGACCAGTGTCCTTTGTGGCTGTCGACTCAGCCAGGAGAGTGAGTCATGTCCAGGTGCCGAAATCAAAAGGTTCAGATGGGCCAGGCACACTGGCACCTGGCTCACTGCCACTTTGGGAAGCCGAGGCAAGAGGATTGCTTGAAGCTAGGAGTTCGAGACTAGGCTTGGGCAACATAGTGAGACCCCATCTCTACAAAAAAGTAAAAAAATTACCCAGGCAGGATGGCGCGTGTCTGTAGTCCCAGCTACTTGGGAGGCCAAGGCAGAAGGATCCCACGAGCCCAGGAGGTCGAGACTGTGGTAAGCCATGATCCTGGCGCTGCACGCTAACCTGGACTAAAAAAATTAAAAATAAATAAATAACATAGAAAGGTTAGAATGTACACTGAAAAACATTTTTCCCTCCCTGTCCCCAGCAACTTAGTACCCTGCTCTGCAGCTACGAATGCTGTCCCTTCCTAGGGCTCCTTTCCAGAGGTGCTCCTGTCTTTGCAAGGGCCCGAGGGACATTTCCCATAACTCCTGCCTGCTTGTGTCTTTTTCTCACACAGGCGGTGACATACCACAGGCTGCTCTGCCTTGTACCTCTTTTCTTAGCACTTTGGCTCAAAGTTCACTCCCCATTCATGGAGTGATCTACCCCTGTCATTTGAACTATATTCCATGGTTTATTTAATAAGACATTGATTGAGGGATCATGAGTAATTTTCAATGTTTAACTCCTGTTTCCTTGAATAGCAGCTGTTTAAAAAAGTTTCTCTGTACATTGGATTTGCAGAGAGGCAGGCTCACAGCAGATGTGACAGTGGTGACTGTAAAATATAGATTGAAAGGCTACTAATTCAAAATATAGATTGAAATGCTGCTAATTCGGTTCACAGTGCACAGACACGCCCTTGGCGGCCTTAGCTCTTTTGGCCCAGAGTGTCCTTGCTGGACTCAGTGTACACTTGTAAAGAATGGGCTCTTGACGCTTGCCAGGTGGCCACTGTCTTTTGAGTATGTTTATAGAATATTCCTCCTTGGAGCTGACACCTTGCTCTTCATTTTTTTTTTAAGAGACAGAGTTTCACTGTGTTGCCCAGGCTGGAGTGCAGTGGTGCAATCATAGCTCACTGCAGCCTCGACCTCCTGGGCTCAAGCAATCCACCCACCTTGGCCTCCTGAGTAGCTAGGACTATAAGAGCACACCACTACACCTGGCTAATGAAAAAAAAAAACCACATTTTGTTTTGTAGCCATGAGATCTTGCTATGTTACACAAGTTGGTCTCGAATTCCTAGCCTCAAGCGATACTACTGCCTTGGCCTCCCAAAATGTTGGGATTATAGGTGTGAGCCACCGTGCCTTGTACTTGATATGTCTCACTCCATAAGTAGGAGGGGCTGCTACTGATATCACCATTTCATGTTTCTGTGGGTTCAGTACAAGTTGCATCCTGTGGTCACTGCCTTTTGGAGGCTCACAGCCTGGTGTGAATGGTCTTGTTGAGAGCACGTGCACCCCAGAATAGCATATCAGTGTATTCCCAGCTTCAGTAGGATTCATCTGGAGAGGAATTGGTGAGATGAGTTCGGGGTTGAGGGGCAGACATGAAACGGTGCACACCGTGCACAGGTAACAAGTGGCTGTTCTTTGCTGAGAGCCGTGAAAGACCGCAGAACAGGATAGTCGGAAGATGCCGTGGAGGAGCCGGGCAGGTGGGTACTAGGCTGATGACAGTGACAGAACACCAGGTCTGTGGCTGCGGGAAAGCAGAGGAACTATAAAAGCATCAAGTAGAGCCTCTAACCTATCTGGGAGTGGGCCATTTCAGCTGGGTGCTACAGAAAAACAGAACTAAGTATATAAAGATCAGTGTGTAAAGAGAGGGACCGCAAGGAATTGGTCTATGTGATTGTAGGGGCTGGCTTGGCAAGCCTGAAGCCGTAGGGCGCCCTTTGTGGGAAGCAATCTGGAAACTGATGCTGCAGTTGCTTGATCCTCCTTCAAGCAAAGCACTCGTCTCAGCCTCCTACTAGAGTAGCTAATTTTTTTATTATTTGTGGGGATGAGGTCTTGCTATGTTGCCTACACTGGTCTCAAACTCCTGGCCTCAAGCGATCCTCCCGTCTTGGCCTCCCAAAAAGCTGGCATTATAGGTGTGAGCCACCATGCCCTGTCTCGGTTCTGTTTTTAAGGTTTTTCAATGAACTGGATCAAGCCCACCCAGATTATTCAAGATCACCTCCTTTACTTCAAGTCACATCTACAAAACACCATCACAGCAACACCTAGATTAGCATTTGGTCGAGTACCTGGGGACTGTAGCCTAGACAAGGAGACACATCAAACTGACCATCACTGGGCTCAGCTACTTGGTTCTTCTACTGGCCATGCCAGGGGTGTCTCGTGTGGCTACAGTCATCTGGCAGCTTGGCTGGGCCTGGATGGCCTAGAATAACTTCCCTTGTATGGCTGGTGCTTGGTACTGGCCGCCAGTAGGGCTACCTGTCTATAGCAGGCCAACTGAGTTCCTTCCCTTGGAGACTGGGTTTCAAGATGACAGGCTCCAATGGGCAAGGTTTATAAGCCTCTGCTTGAACCATGTTTGGTGAGGTCCCATGGGCCAAAGCAAATCACATGAAAGCCACATGGAGAATTAACCTCTACCTCTTGATCAGAAGAATAGAAAATGGGTGAGCAGATAGGACCTGGAAGAACTTATGGCCATTTTTGATCCTCCAGAGGGTAGGATCAGAAAATAGTTTAGCAGCTGCTAAGCCCAGCAGCATCTCTTGGACTGTGTTAAATTGACAGAAGATTCTTAATTTCCCAGACTTGTAGGATGGTACACTAGCTGTTATCCTGGTGTATTTGTCTGCTTGAGCCACCATGACCAAGTACTACAGACTGGGTGGCTCAAACAACAGAAATGACTGGGGACAGTGGCACGTGCTACACTGGAGACTGAGGCAGGAGGATCACTTGAGCCTAGGAGGCTGAGGCTGCAGTGAGCTATGATCATGCCACTGCCCTCCAGCCTGGGTGACAGAGCAAGATCCCTCTCTAAAACAAAACAAACATAAAAAAATCAAAACATAATTCAATTTTCTCACAGCTCTGGAGGCCAGAGGCCCTAGATCAAGGTATCGGCAGGGCTGGTTCCTTCTGAGACCGCCCTCCTTGGCTGTAGATGGCCACCATCTCCCTGTGTCTTTTCTTGGTTGTCCCCCTGTGTGTTCTAATGTCCCCTTCTTATAAAGACACCAGTCCTGTTGGATTGCGGTCCATTGTAACAACCTCATTTTTAACTGAATTACCTTGTTAAATATCCTGTCTCTAAATACGGTCAAATTCTGAGCTACTGGGGCTTAGGACTTTAGCATCGGGGCTTTGGGAAGGACACACTTCAGCCCTTCACACTTGGCTTGTATCCACCTCCTCCACCTGCTTTTGCGTTGTGTCTTTTTTCTTTTCATGGCACAGCTAGCATTTGTTGGTACTTACTGTGTGCCAGGTGCTGTGCTGAGTCCTTTGTGTATGTGACCTCATTGAACTGTTCTTCCTTCCCCATAGCCATAGCAGAATCCTCACATCATCTCTGAGCACCATCACCTCACCAACCATCCTTTAGTGGCCAGTGCTCTCTTCAGCATTGGGAGAAATCACTCTGTCTGTTACTGAACCACAGATCCAGTGTGCTTAAGGGCCAGCCCATATGAAAAACTTTGTTCAGAAAAATAGCTCTTGCCAGGCACAGTGACTGATGCCTGAAATCCCAGTACTTTAGGAGGCCATGGCAGGAGGGTTGCTTGAGCCCAGGGATTTGAAACCAGCCTAGGCAACACAGCGAGATCTCGTCTCTACAAAAAATCAAAACAACAACAATGAAAGAAAACAGCGGTCACCCCAAGGAGTTAAATTCACGTATGTTAGAAGTGGGTGTCACAAAACTCTATAGTACTACTGAAAAACCGGGAACAGCATGAAGCTGGAAGAGGGAACCTGTACCTTTGGAGGGACTGGTGCAGTTGGCCAGATAAATCCATGCAACAGGAGGCTGGCATGGAGGCTAGACCATACTGTCTGCTGTTAAGGCCAGGTGGTCCGCATGTGTCTACATGGAAAAGTCTCCAAGGCATGTGTTACTATGGGAAAAAAAGCTAAGTGTGGAACAATATTGTGTTTATTTCCTATTGTGGACGAATCACCACAAAGTGGGTGGCTTAAAGCGACATGAGACTCATTCTCTCAAAGTTGTGGTTGCCAGAAGTTTGAGATCAAGGTATGAGCAGGGCTGCACGCCCTTGGAGGGCTCTGGGAAGGGCCTGCCTTGTCTATTTCAGGACCTGCAGTCCTTGATGTTCCTAGGTGCAGTGTGGCTCCATTCTTTGCCTCTTTCTTCACACAGCCTTCTCTGTGTCTGTGCCTCTCAAATCTCCCTCTCCTTTCTCTGATACAGACACCGGTCATTGGATGTAGGACCCACTCTGAATGCAGGATGATTTTATCTCAAGAGGGCCCTTAACTTAATTATGTCTGCTAAGACCCTTTTTCCGAGGAAGGTACATTTACAAGTACCAGGATTAGGATTTGGACATACCTTTGTGTGTGGGGTGGGGTGGGGGGGTGGGGATGGAAGACGGCAGAGGAACACCATTCAACCCACTACAAATCTATGGTATTATTTATTGTGCAAACAAGTGGATTTGTATGCCTATAGATGTATACAGATTTTCAGAGAAGAAACCCGACACTAACAACAGCGATTACCTTTTGGGGCCAGTGAAGAGCATATTTTTTTATGGACGTATAAACTATTTAGAACTTTTTACCTTGTGCATGCATAACTTTATAGAAAGTACTATCCCCTGAGATAACTAGCTTTTAAGCTCATGGATTACTTTGGATCTTCTTTATATTTTAATCTATTTTTAACTCATTGATTTTATAAAGATTTTCAGGAATAAAAAATATTGAGGCCATGGTCTCCCCTAAATATATCCTGATTTCTTTATTGCTGAGAGAAATGAAAGAAAACTTAAATATAGAGGACCCAGTTTATGGACTGGGAGATTGACTATTTTGAAGATGTCATTTCCGTCCAAATTGACCTATGGATTTAATGTAATCCTAATCAAAATGTCAGTATTCTTTAAAAAAAAGGAAGGAAATCGACAAGTTAATTCTAAACTGTGTAGGAAAATGGAAAGGACCTGGAAGCATCAGAACGATCCCCCCAAAAGAACACAGTTGGAGGAGTTGCATGACCTTATCTCAGGATTTAACTACAAAGTTACATAGTCAGTACACTGTGATTTGGGGTGGGATAGACAAATACTATTCATGGAATAAAAAAGAAAGTCCAGAAATAGACCCACACACATACATGCTCATTTGGTTTTTGATAAAGGCACCAAAGAAAATCATCAGGGGCAGAAAAATCTTTTCAACAAGTTATGCTGGGCAGCTGGTTATCCATACGGATAAAAACAAGACCATTGGCACATGACACATGGAGATTAATTTGAGCTCAGACCTAAATGCAAAAGGGAAGATGATAAAACTTCTAGAAGTAAACACAAAAGGATATCTTTTCAAATTTTCGGTTGTCAGAGGTTTCTCACATGGCACTTGAAAAAGCAAGCATTACTTTAAAAATATGACAAATTACACTTGGCCAAAATTTAAAACTTGTGCCACTCAAAAGACACCATTAAGAAAATGAATCAGAAAACCTCAGACTGGGAGAAAATACTTGTAACACAAAGAACTTGTATCCAGGATATATACAGGACTCTTACAAATAATAAAAAAAATTAAAAGGATAAAGAATTCTCTTTTTTTAAGTGGGCAAAATTAAAAACTTCGATGGGTCCTTCACAAAAAATGATATCTGATTATCCAGTAAGCATATGAGAAAGTACTTAACACCATTAGTCAGTAGGGAAATGCTAATTACAACCAGGATGAGAGATCACTGTATACCAGTGAGAATGACTGAAATTAAAAAGGCCGATAACACAAAATGTTGGCATGCATGTGGAAGAACTGAAACTCTCATGATTGCCGGAGGCAGTGGAAGTAACACAACTTCTTTGGAAAATAATTTGGCAGTTTCTTATAAACACACATCTGCCCTATGAGTCATCATTCCACCTAAGAGAAAATAAAATATGTGTACAAAAGACTTGTATGAGCCTGGGCAGGATGGCTCACACCTGTAATCACAGCAGTTTGGGAGACTGAGGCGGTGGGATCACTTGAGACCAGGACTTTGAGACCAGCCTGGGAAACATAGCAAGACCTTGGACTCCACAAAAATTTTTAAAAAATTAGCCAGGTATAGTGGCACCTTTAGTCCTAGCTACTTGGGAGGCTGAGGTGGGAGGATCATTTGAGCCCAGGAGTTCAAGGCTACAGTGAGCTATGATTGCATTACTGTACTCCAGCCTGAGAGACAGAATGAGACCCTGTATCTAAAAAAATAAGGAACTTGTATGAGAATGTTCAGAGAAGCTTTATTTGTATTAGCCCCAAACTGGAAACAACCCAAATGTCCATCAATGAGAGAACGGATACACACACTGTGGTCTGTCTGTACATAGAGTGGACCTCTACTCGATGATTAAATGGTGCAAAGTACTGACACCTGAAATTCCGTGGACACATCTCCAAAATATGCTGAGCAAAAGAAGCCAGACACAAAAGAATATCTGCTTTCTGATTCCATGTACATGAAATTCTAGGCCCATCCACACT